CGCCCCGCACAGTGACTGCTGGATGTGGGCACTGGATGTGACCCCATGTGACCCTGAAAGGCAAAAGCAGGTATAGATAATGAATGGATAGATATGAAAACAGATATTGATAATTATCTATAAGATTTTACATTTTTAGAACTTTAGTTCTTCTTTAAAACTCTAACCTGGGACAGGGTCTGTTGATTTTGTTGATTTTGTATTGTCTTCATTGAATAAACTTTATAGAACCTGAGTAAAAACATTGGTTTTATGGACATGCTAATTCTATAAGTAAAAATCTTTGAGTGGCAGATCAAAATGCAGTCTGGGAGCTGCTGGCAGCAGTAGCACCAGCAGTTTTGACAAAAACAAGGGAAAGAAAGAATATTTATGGTTCTGCCGGTTTTGTTTCATTGCCTGAAAGTGCAACGATAAGAGGATTTAATAATGTGTGCTCTATGTGAGCCAACAATCTAGTCATTCCACAAACAAAACATGTCATTTTATTCTACCACATTTCATTAGTTGAAAACTTGGGACTTTCATTTAATTTGATTGCGTGAAGTACCAGATTTTTCCAAGAAACAGACCTTTAACTGTGGCGACCTTTAGAAATTTTTCATTTTTTTGTCATTTCAGGAGAAAACGAAACTAAATATTATTAGTTTATTTATTTCTTCATCATCAGTGACTTTTTTTAAGTAAAGAGAAAATAGGGAAAGAGAGAAAAACAGAGAGAGAAGTAATTAGACAGATTGAAATAGAGATTAGAAGTATGTTAAATATACACCAACAAAACATAGGACCACACACCCAACATCTGTCCACACACCTGAAAAATAAATGGATAAATACATGGAGAGCATATATAAATACATACACATATCCATACATACAGTATATAAAGATGTACATACATACACGCCTACATTCATAAATATTATCAGTACATACACACAGACATATATACACACTCAGTGACCAGTCAGAACCCCCTGGATCAGAACAGCTGTTTGTGGGCGGTTGTGAACATGCGTGTATATACAAGATTTCTCCAATGGAATATTTAATAGTGACTGTGGAGGACCGGAGACCCAACCCCCAAGACACGAGGTAGACATAGGGAGGATCAGAAACCAAAGGCCCGAGAGGGATCCCGACGGCAGAGCCCCAAGGGGCACCTGCACGGGAAGATCTGCCCGCCCACACCCCAGATCAGACCATAGGGGAGAACTGGGAAAGTACCCCCAGCGACCACACGCACAGCCCCCGGGGCCAGCAGCAACAAACTCATGGACCCCACCGGCACCCGCCACACCAGAGCAGATCCAGGAAAGGACATAGAGGTCCGGGTTCCCAGGGCGCAACCCCCCCAGGCCAAAGCCCGACAGGCCCAGAGGCCCCGAGCCCCAGCAGGCAGTCACCAGGCCAGGCCGGCACACACCCCAGCGCCCAGCCCCAGACCCCGGGAACCCCCAGCATGCCGATGACCAGCCGCACACCCCACCGGGGGGCCGAGTAGCAGCGGGCCCCCAGGTAAACCAGCAGGAGGGGCAGCCCAGACCACAGCCTGACAAATACATATACAATCGCACCATCCCACCCTCATCCTCACCCCCACTCAATCAAAGACATACAAGGACGCCACATTCCACTCATACCCCCGATACACACTCTATACCCCCTAGGTTCAGGACATGCACCCACCCCCTATTGGAGGCAGCACACACCCAAACCCAGGAG